AAAAACGGATTTTACAACTACCTCTTCCCTGTTTTCCTTTTTTCTCTTTTTTTCCCACTTCTCACTTCTACCAAATTTCACCTATTTATTTACACTGATTTTCCTGCGAGGAAAAAACCATAAAAAATTTCCTTTTATAACAATACCTAATCCTAAGCAGAAATTATGTTGCGCAAATCACTTTTATCCGTACCGCTGCTGTTTTGGGCGCCCTCGCGACTGGACAACAGAACTGCTCAGTTATCCGCAGTGAAACTAAAAACAGTTGTACGTCATTTCCCTAGCTCAAAATATTCTATCTACCGTAAACAAAATTCATAACTGTCTATTAGTTGCCTCTTCTCCAAAAATTGTTTTACTACTGATTTACTTTTCATATGATCGCCGCTCAGTGTAGTGGAGCCGTTTTCTTCTGAAGGCCTAATTTTATTAAACTCTCTATAGACATCCACCTTTAAAAAGCACAAAATTACAGGCAACTGGGAGCTGTTTTATCTCTTTTACGTTCTCCTAAACAACGTATGTCTGTGTTTTTTCTATTTACTAAACAGTTGAGACAACACTCTGGTATCAAGCAGTGGCTACAACAAGCGACTCGTTAATTGATTTCGGTAATATGTAGCCTAATTTTTCTCCTGTTCTTTTCTTATCTCATAAACAACAGTGTCTCTTCTTGGTTGTCTCTTCTTGGTTGCTTAAAGACAACATTTTGCTGATCTATCAGAGCCTCCAACAAAATACAAATAAGATGTGGAAACTGTGAAAATTTGGTCGGAAAAGTCTCGAAGAAAAATATGTAACGTTAAACTCCTGCCAAGGTCATCTTCACTCTGCATTCAGGCTTTTACTTATCGGCGTATTTCGGGAGGAAAACTGTCTGACAGACTACTTGGCGGAGTAATTACTAACTGTATTAGGCAATCCATTTAGTTTAAGAGTTAAAAAAAGAAAAATTTTACTTGTTACCAACCTAATAATTTAGTGAACGTTATTTAACAACCAAAGTCGTCTTCAGTTTGAATAACCGTTTTTTTTTTTAATGAATGTCAAGCACATTTTATTTTTCAACTTACCCCATTTAGAAGCTCACATAGAAAAACAGCAAAATTTAAAAGTGTTAACATAAAATGTAAAATGCTGAAAACTATTTTAGTAAGTATCAGAAATTCTTGGTCTGCAGTTTTTTAAAATTTTATTCACCAGCGATTTTTTACATTAGTGAGCGAACATTATCTGTAAGCACTGTATTTTGATAATATTCCTTTGGTACAACAATAGTGCAGTTATAAGGATTAAACTGTCATTCAAAGATTATTATGATTAGTTAGTAAAGCGATGGCTTCAAGAAACTGTAGTTGTGCTTGTTGTTGACCAACCAGTTGTTCTACCAGAAAAGAATAACTTGGTTGTTTATGTCTTTTTTATCAGAAATCAATTTTTTTCCTCACTGACCTATAATGTTTTTTCTTTTTTTGTTAATTTATTTTTTATTTTTCTGACTGGTTCAAGCTGATAGGTAAATTATGCATGTATGTAAACTTGAATGTTAATATTAGGGAGTTACATTTGATTAGTATCAAACATTCATGTAGTTTTTGCAGTTATCTTCATACAGCTTCAGTATCATAGCAATATTTGCGACGTCACTCCAAATCGTGCTTTCTGAAGACACAAATATCAGTTGTATCCAACAATGAATGTGACAGTTTTTTGCAAAAAAAAATCATTATAGCAAATGTTTTTTTTTCATGTATCGCATTTTTTTGATCAGAAAAAATTTGGCTTTCGCTTATTTGTTTACAGTTTTGAAGCAAATGAAGAATAATCACTTATTTGGGCACTGCATGTCGATGTTTTGTTGGCTAAGTCGATGACACTGCATAGTTTTTTTCAAAGATGTCGAAACATTTTTTAGATTTGAATTTTAAAACTAATTGAGTTTCATTATCACTCCAAACCTGTGAATTTACTGTTGAGATCTGTATGGCCAGAATTTTTAATTTCAAATGAGCTCTAATCGAAAGCAATCTTCTATCTTGGTTTTTTTTTTTGCAGCTATATTGCTACGCCTATCATACTTGCTACTGATAGTATTTGTCTATGATTACCAGTGTAACTTGAAGGAGCAATCAGATTACTGATGAACTCATTTTAAAAGACTTTTGGCAGATCCAGAAACCAGTGATGTCAGCAGATCTTAAACAACGCTTCCAGGTTTCAAAAAGCGGTACAGAAGCAAACAGCGACCTCGGTCGTCCCATGCTGTTCTCAGACGACGAAGTGATTCCACTCTCAAATCTAATGTCGTCAAGTGAACGACCTGGCGAGAGGAAGATAAGCGCTACCGGTCGCTTTCAAGTTAATGAGGTTTGAACAAAGGAAATTTTTTTGCATTATTACTTCTTCTTCCTCAATACTAGAATTTGTACCGTAAAAATAAAATAATCCTTATTCTTTCAATGTTGTATCTTTTCCAATAACAGTTACAAGTAGTGCTATATGCAGGCAACGACAGCGGGGAAATTCTCATTCGTCATAAAATGAAATTTTTCAGTGCATAAACAGCTTAAATTTTGCAGGTCACAAGAGCATCATCTGCGCCAGCTAAATCCTCATTGAGTGGGACCGGTCGCAGTCCATCAAGGTCAAAAACCCCCTCTTTTCAAAGTGCAGACGATGATAATGGAACTTGTATTTATAACAAATCGGTACATTTCTCGGTTGGCAATGAAGTCAGTTCAGCACCAGAAGAAGAAAATTTAACAAGCTTAACAGATAGGGAGGGAAACACTACTGTCAACATGCGAAGTTGGAGGTAAGCAGTTTTTATAATAAATAATCAAAAGTGGAGTACTTTTTTACTGTTCAATAATGGTGATATAGTGTGATGTCTTACTGCTAAGGCATTTTCCACCACTTAGGTAATACTTTCAAATTGTTCTTTTTTTAGGCATATTCAAACTTTAGAGCATCCACCGATGATTGATTTCTATCGGGACTCAATTGATGCTCTTGGGATGAATTCTAGACCGTCAATGAATCAGCTGATTCACGGTGAAAAAGCGCGAGATTCTGTCGCGATTGGAATTGAGGAACTCAAAGTAAGCGCATGTTCTTTTGAGCTCTTTCTGGTACGACCAGCTGCAGTTAATTTGGCATTCGTCTACTGATGTTATTTACGAAATCGATTCTTTGCTGCTTTAGGTGAAGTTAATAAACAGATGTCAGACAACAAAAAAGTTGTCTTTCTTACTGTTCTATATCCTCTTTTGGATCTGCGTGAACTACTAAATTACAGAATGAAGCAAACGAATTACTTGATAGTCTTTCTGGTGGACAGTTGCAAAAATTCAAGCCTCCGACCCCTGTGCCGAGAACAAAGTTTGGCTGGGTTCAGGGAGTTTTTGTTAGATGCTTACTAAACATATTTGGTGTGATGCTCTACCTCCGAGTCAGTTGGGTAGCTGGTGAAGCGGGAATACGTAAGTTGTGACGTCGGTCAACAGTAGTTTGTAACTTGGAAGGAAATTTCAAACTTTTTTGTGAAGAAAGTGTTGATGAGTGTGAAGGTTTAAGTTTTAGGGAATTTAACTTCTTTAAAATTATTTTCAAATGCATTTGTTTTTTTTAAGCAAATATATATTTCCATAAAAAGTTAAGCTAATTTTTTCAAATTTTCAGTTTTGGGTGCACTAGTCGTCATTCTTGCATCAACAGTAACTACACTTACTGCTATTTCAACGTGTGCTATTTGCACCAATGGTGACGTTAAAGGAGGCGGTGCATACTTTTTGGTGCGCTTTTATCATCTTTTTTTGTTTCATTTACTGCTAACGATTAAGAGCACTCAAAATGAACGATTTTTTTCTCAGATTAGTAGGTCCTTAGGACCTGAATTTGGGGGATCCATAGGCATGCTGTTTGCTTTCGCTAACGCTGTTGGGGCAGCAATGTACGTCGTAGGATTTGCTGAAACAGTTCGGGATTTGATGAAAGAATATAATGTTGCGATTATTGATGGAGAGATGAACGATGTGCGGATTATTGGTCTTGGTAAGGCAACTGTTGATTCTGTCTTTTAATCTTACATTTTTCATAAGCATTACCATTGAGTTATGAAAGTTCCATAGTAGACATCTATAGTTTACCGAAATTTGTTACGACCAAACAAATTTTTTTAACTGGATAAAGAGTAACATTACTTTTTTTATTACTTTTTCAGCGCGATAAACGATTTTTTCAGTTACATGCACACTTTTAATGGCGATTGTCTTTGTGGGTACTTCGTTCGAGAGTAAAATGCAGATAGGACTTCTTGTAATTCTCACACTTTCAATACTTAATTATTTTATCGGAACCCTAATTCCTATCTCATCTGAACAAAGTCAACGTGGAATTACAGGCTATAGCGGTATGAGGAGGATTTTTTTATCTAATGTCAATTTAGCATAAAATGGTCTAATTCAAACTTATATAGTAGGTTTTTCAAGTAAGTAGAATTAAAACGTCTATTTTTCACTAAGCAGCCCGAGCTGAAATACTATGTATGGTGAGCTTGATTTACGTTGCTTTGGATAAAACGAGTTCTAGCTACTGAAAGAAAATCCTGTTCTTAAATTTAATCGTATTATTATGTCTTAGTGAAGCAGAAAATACACATGTGGTAGTAAAAGTAATGTGCAATTGCAGTTGTGACAATGATTAGTAACTTGATGCCTGCCTTCACCACAGGTGAATCATTTTTTTCTGTTTTTGCTGTTTATTTTCCGGCGGCAACAGGAATTATGGCTGGTGCTAACATCAGTGGAGATCTAAGTGACCCACAGGTATTTTTGTAACTTATTATTTTATGCTGCGCTTAAAAATGTTTTCAAATTGTTATTGTAATTCTTTATTTTGATTCTTTGGTACCATAAATAAGTCATATAAGCAATTAAATCTTCAGTGGCAAATGAGATATTGATAGGTCAGTAAGCAAACTCTGAAGCCGTGTTGAAAGACAATCTTTTAGAAAGCCATTCCACTGGGTACCCTTCTAGCAATAGCAGTAACAACGGTTATCTACTTAGCGGTCGTATTTATGACTGGAGCAACATGCGTCCGCTATGCAGACGGTGTTACACCATATTTGGTTAATGGGAGTATTGTTCAGCCGGATTGTGCCGCCGATAACACTTGTAAATATGGTCTCATAAGTTATTTCCAGGTTCTGCAAAATTCTTTTATTTATATTATAATTATGCTTTATAATGCGATACTTTTTTCAACTGTATGCTATTATGTAGGTCATCGTTCAGTTACCATTTAGGTTATGGAAACGGAAAGCTTATGGGGACCATTAATTACTGCTGGAATTTTTGCCGCTACATTGAGTTCAGCTTTAGCCAGCTTGGTTAGCGCTCCAAAAGTTTTCCAGGTATATCAAACTTGTTTTTTTCCTTTTTCTTTGCTGCCAACTTACATTTTACAGATTATTGCGTATATTTAGGCTGTTTGTAAAGATCGTCTGTTCCCAAAAATAGATGCCTTTGCTAAAGGCTATGGTCGTAATGAAGAACCAAGGCGTGCTTACGCTCTTGCATTTATTATTGCTATGGTTATGATTCTAATAGGTTTGCGTTACGTTCTCCAATAACAATTTCCTAATTAACCTTGAACAATGCTTGTTTATTGCTAGCTAAATAGGATAGGAAAACTGTATCAAAAAACTTGAAATGTTACTGTGTCAGAAAAATTTTTTAAGATTTTTTGGTTTGACCTTAAAGAAGCATTTCTAGTTTGACCGTTTACTGTCAGAATGTAAGCAGATTTTAGTTTTAGATGGGGTGGCTCTATTTCAGGTAGGCTCAATGATATTGCTCCTATAATATCAAATTTTTTTCTCGCTTCGTACGCACTTATTAATTATGCTTGTTTCGATGCGTCGTTTGCGAATTCCCCAGGTACATCAACAGCAGAACGTTATCTTTCTTTTTAAAGTTTTTCCTAATTTTTTTATTTTTTTGTACTGTTTTGATTTTCATCATTTTCCTCTTCAGTAAGCTTATTTTTGAGGGTTTCGACCAAGGTTCCGCCATTACAATAAATGGCTGTCTTTGACCGGAGCTGTTTTATGCATCAGTGTCATGTTTATTATATCATGGACTACAGCTCTTTTAACGTTCTTCATTTTTGCTGTGATATTTCTTTATATATTACATAGAAAACCAGGTGACTGACATAGCTATTATAAATTTCGTTGCTGTAAACGCTTGGTCTTTTTGTAAAATTGCCAATTGAAGCTGAGACTTATAGTTCTTTGCTTCTGCTAGTTAAAGAAATGTGTTTTCTGTTTAGATGTCAACTGGGGGTCATCAACTCAAGCTCACAGTTACAAGAGCGCTTTGCAAGCAATGCTAAAACTTTCGAACACTGAAGAACACGTAAAGAACTATCGACCTCAAATTCTTGTTCTTACCGGTAATCCTGTTGATCGTCCATCACTAGTCGACTTTGTGTACAGTATTTCGAAAGGATCTAGTCTCATGATTTGTGGATACGTTGTGCCGGTATTTAAAATTAATAATTTTTTGATTTGAATTTAGTTTACTTTGTTAGGAGAAAGTAAAGTTTAGATAATTTCTCTTCTTTGCTATTTTATCGTTTTTACTTTAGCTTTTTATTTTATTGTTATTTTGCAGTACGAGCCATCTGATCGAATATTTTCTGTAATCAAGAAACTGGATCGACAGTTAATCGAATGGTTGAAAAAACGGCACATAAAATCTTTTTATGTTTCCGTTGCCAATCCAAGTTTACGAGTTGGAGCTCAAAATCTTATTCAGGTAGTTGAACTTCAATTTTTGGATTGGTTATTTGACCAATTTTCATTTCTTCAAACATGTTATTATAGCGTTTTAATCTTACAGATTAGTGGTTTGGGTAAACTTCGGCCTAACATACTGATTCTTGGTTTCAAAGCTAACTGGGCTGCACAGGGGGCGGAAGAGTTGGATGGAATCAACAATTATTTTGGTATTATTCAGTGAGTGCTTGTCATTTTAACTGTGTATAAATTTGGCTTGTTTATATCGCGAATGCTCTATTTTCAGAGATGCATTTGAAAGTAATATGGGCGTGGGTGTACTTCGGAACGCTAGTTTTGGTCTTGATTACAGCGAGTTAGTAAAACGGCATAACGTTGGAGAAGCCACGCATCTCAATCTTCCTAACGTCGAACAGCATTTGAAATCCGACGAAGCGTTTGTTAATTTCTTTATGTCTTTGGTGTTGCGTGGCTGATATGCAAAAAAAGATATTTTATATTTCTTGCTTTAAAGTCACAGCGGAGACTGATATGGAAAATGATAAAACTGAAATAGTGCTGAAAAAGCGATTTACACTAGTGTTAAAATTGTTGATTCCACCGTTAAAAATGAACAATAGGATCTAACATAGCAGTTTTGAAGTTAGTTGCAAAAAATTATTACTCTGTAAGGTTTGCATGGGTTTATAAGTGTTTGTTTATTTATTTCATTACTATGCACAATATTCCTTAACTTTATAATTTTATCTACTTTTAAGTGGAGATAAAATGAACATTCGGAGCAGCTCGGACTCTAAGTTCACTTCTTGCTCGGAAAAAACAAGCAAGATTGAAGGCGAGAAGTATTCAGTTAGTGTTAGTGAAACGTTAGTTTCCTGAAATAAATTTTTGCCTCAATATGACTTTTTTCTTTTACAGCTTGTTTTAACTTTGAATTTTATAGGTCAATAAATAAGCCACATGAAGGATTTGAGCAACAAAGTAAAGTTGAATGTACGATATTTAATCAATCTTTTATTTTTTCTAGCAATTCTTTTCTTTAGTGATAATAAAAGACTATTTTTCATTGAATTGCTTCTCTGGGTGAGCAAAATGAATTTTAAATTTTTTTACGGTTGAGAACTTTATCCTGTTTTCAGCGTCGACTTCTTTTCCTGATAGTTATCCGTTGGAATATTATGGTGATGCAAACGATGATGGTGAAGTGGAAGATAATAATGTACAAATTCAAATAACTGATTCATTTCTTATTAACTTCTGTGTTAAATTAAATTTTTTTAGAGAACTGTTTTTCTTGTTGGTTACTATTAACATTTGTTTTTTTGGAACTTCAACAAATGAGTTGCATTACAGAATCTTCGAGATATTGATGATGAGGGATCAAATGGGCAGTTTTATGTGATGCATCCGAGTAGCAAAAGCAGTGAAGCTTTCGGAACGATTGACGAGAGCAGTAGTAGCGCTCAAAGAACTGTAATTTGCAAAATTATTGTTTTTTTCAGGATCCGGGTTTCTGATTATTTTTGGCTATTTCTGTTTGTACATGGAACTTGGAATGATGGTGTTTACTGCGTACTGATGATGTTGGATTTTGTTGATGATTATTATGATAACTTACAGGACTCTGCACAAGATCAGTCTAGAACTGGAGGGCAACGATTATCGATTTATGAACACAGCATGAGCTTGCTGAAACATCTTGGGTGAGCATCCTTTTGCAAATTGCCTTCAGTTTTTTTCGTGCTATATTTCTAATATGTCCTTGATTTTCTGAAAAATTGCCTTTTGCTGGAAATTTTATGAGTAAATTGTCTGATTGTACAGCTGGAACTCTTTATTTAATTTTTTATATGAAAAGCTTTTTGATTTAGGATTTTTTTCTTTTCAGTACATGATTAGGGCTAAGTATATTGCGATACGATTTATCGTGTTTTATTTGGTTGATTGTGTTAGCAAAAAACGCCATAGATGCATCGAATTTTGAGGTGCAGCTACAGATGAGCTGTGTTTAGTACGTAGCGGTAGGAGCGAATTTTCTGTGCGACTTACATAGCATTTCTGGAACTAGCACAGCTACCCTTATAGTATATAGATCTTACAGTATTTTTTTGGTCTTTCTTAGTGACAACGTGTTTTGCTGAAGCACCAGCGTTGATAATGTTTTTCTTAGTCGGCGCAAACTAGCGAAACAAGCAAGTGCGGATGGAGATAGGTGTGTTATTTTCTTGTTCGTTTTTTCTGTCATGTATTCGTTTCCTGTGTGTCGGTGAAGAACGCAAGGAAAATTTGGTTTTTTAGTTTTAATGCGCTACTATTAGTTTTGCATGCACTGTTAATAAGCCTCTTAATTTTGTACGGTGAGTACTGAACTCACTGAAGTTAATGTTCTCGGACACGCATGTTTGAAGGCTTCCGCGTATGTGGAGAGAAAAGTGGTGTTCATGAATTTTTTTTTCCCAAGACGGTGATGACAATGCCTACTTGTCTTTCCCGAAGTGTTTTGCGAAAAGTTGTACACAGTTACTGATGCAAAAAGTTCTAGGATGGTTTGCAGTGCTTTGTAAAAACATCAGTTTGGTATGTTAGTTTGGTTAGACGGAGGAAGAGAGTGAAAAAGAAGTTGGAATTTACTTTTCAGGCCATCTTAAAAAAAAAACTGTTTTTGCGAAGTTTTTTTCATACGTCTTGTTGCTTTACCCCCAGAGCATTATGTCATTAGGGACTGTTGCTTTTGCTTGACACTCAAATGCTTTTTACAGTTATTGATTCAAGTTTTTTTGTTAGACTATTATCGCACACTTTTGTGGTAACTATCATTTCTGTCTTATTGTGAGATTACCCATTACTTTTTTGAATGCATTGGTTTTGTTTCGTGTGTGTATTGCAGCATTTGGTATATGTTTGCTGCGTATTTACTGCACAAATACGGTACTGTTTTTTAAGGTCAAGAAGGCAGACAGTGGAACAGCGGCAGTTGATTGAGTCCATCGCCAGTTTCCAAAGGAAGATTAAACAAGGGACTATAGATGTTTGGTGGTTATACGATGACGGTGGTTTGACTTTATTGGTTCCGCACTTGCTGACAAACGAAAAAAGCTATCTAGAAGTATGCATTTTACAACCCTTGAGTAGTAAATTTTAATAATTTTATTTTTCACATATTTTATTCAAAAATTTCTGAAAAAAAAAGAGGACGTTTAGAACGCTCGTTTACGAGTATTCACGATTGCTACATCACATAAGTCGATGGAACAGGAACAGAGGAGCATGGCTGCCTTGCTGAGCAAATTTCGCATCGATTTTTCAGACGTTTCTGTAATTCCCGATATCGGCAAAAAACCTTCTGCTCAAACGTAATTTTTCCACCTGCACATATCTACTGTGTTTACTAATAGTGAAGTTCAAAGCAAATCTCATTGATTTCTCTCATATCAGAAAATCTGTTCTAGCAAAAAAGAATTTGATGATCTTATTGCACCCTTCCGAATTTCTAACGATGTTGAGGAGAAGCCCCCTGGTTTAATAACAGATTCGGAACTTATTTCGCAAAAAGAGAAAACTAATCGGCAGCTCCGAACTGCGGAGCTACTGCGCCAACATTCTCGAGAGTCCAGTCTTGTAGTTTTGTAAGTCGATTTATTAGGGCAGTACAGTTACAACAAGTTATAACAGTGTTCATTATAAGATTTTGTAATCTTTTTTGTTCAAATAAATTTTTCCAGAACATTACCGGTGCCACGGAAGGGTCTTGTGAGTAGCTGTCTTTACATGGCATGGCTTGACATGATGACCCGTAACTTACCACCAACGTTATTAATCAGGGGAAACCAGACCTCAGTTTTGACGTTCTATTCGTAGCAGATTACTAAATCGCACTTTTCGGGTTAAATGAGCTTCTTTATATTTCTATTCTGAGTTTGTCCATACCATCTTTTCACAAGTTATTTATTTATTTCTCACGCTTTTGCAGAAGAAACCTTAAAACTAGGTTTTATTTTCACAGCGTTTTGCTTCAGTAAAACGTTTTTAATTATGATGTTAATTTTCAACTTAATTTAAAAGATGGATGTTGGATGTTGTTATTGTTATTTAAGAACTATTGCAGTAAAAACTGTCGTTTACATCATATGGGTTACATTTTATAATGTAATGAATTAAATATTTTGGAATTTTATTCTGTAATAGGGATTACCTCATTGTGCCTAAGAAATTTGTAAATTTTTGTTCTTAAGACGCTTGGAATTATACCCTAATTATTTAATAGAAAAATGGTTCCAAAAAGCCTTCCAAAGTAGCATTTAGATTAGCTAGAAGATCTTTAATGTGGTTACGGATTTCTTTTGTTACGTGTGGACGGTGTCAAGTGCCTTTCGAAAAGCAAATAAAATATTTTTTATTTTGAGCAGAGCACATTTAATATCACTAGTTTCTTGCAAAAAAATCTGCAGAATTTGCTTTGGTACCACTTCTAAAGGGTCGTCACATAGTAGTTGTCCTGCAGAGAATCCACATATTTCACGCAGATAAAAAAGGCTTTTGTGGATCATGCAAAAATGTTAGGTTAGAAATTACCAAAAAAAGTATATTTCTTTGGTTACTTGCTGAATTATTGCAGCACTAAAAAGCACCAATGTACAAATTTGCTGCTGACTGGAAACCAATTGCTTTATGGGTCATTATAGAGGTTTCCTTGCTTTGTTGTTACACTTTTCTTCCAGTAACTCTGCATACAAAAGTAGTCCTTAACAGGTCTCATTTTAGAACTGCAAGTTTGGACTAATGCAACGTTAGGGCCTAAAGAGTGGTAAATTCCCTTCCCTCCCTGTACTTGTTGCTACAAATGAAAAAGTTTGTTTCTAATGAAAATTTTGCAGTCAGTTAGAAAGCGACTGTGACAGCACTTATTGTGAGTAACCTTTTGTTGTCATTGACCTCTTATGTACTTCAGGCAGCCCTATTTGAACGTAAAAGACGGACAATTATACACAGTTATAGACAACTGTAGTTTAAAATAAACAAGCATTTTATTTTTTTCTCTGAGCAGTTTTTGCAAATCTCACTAGCGTTTCCAAGATTTGGCGCTTGCAAAACCGGAAAATACTTGAAATTTTGAGTCTTAGAGAGGAACGAATGAGGTTTTTTGCGGGCTTTGCCAATGCCTCAGAATGGGGTTAAAAAAATAACGAATGACACTGGAACTCTGAACCAAAAAGCACAGTTAGGAACATTAAATAAAATGAGTGCTTAAAATAAGGCATTTAAGAAGTGATGAAAGGCAGTCAAGCGACCAAAACGAAACAAATCAAATAATACGTAAGTGGAATAAGAGGAGGCATTTATTGCAGGCAGATAAGTAAAGTAACTCAAATATTTTTCAAAAGTGTTTAAAGAAAGATGTCATGGACGTAAAAAAAGATGAAGTTACTGAGGAAAGGTAAGCTGAGAATTTTAAAGGCACTTTGGAAAAGATAGGTAGTCAAATTTTGCATTTTTCTTTGTCAAGTTTCCTCTTTTAACATCCAGCTAAATGTAACTTTTTTCTTAAAAATTATATTTTTGAGCTCCTGAAGTTTACACAGTTGTTTTCTCCTTAAATTGTCTTTATTTTAGCACCCAAATTTTGCTCACATATTTTCAGTTTGAATACAATTTACCAAGCTGCTTTGCTTTCTATCATCCGCCTTTGTTTGTTTGTTTTTTATGCCATCTGCCTTTGCTTTAGTTCAATTTCGTCATGTAATTTCAAAGAATGAGGATTCCACAGATAATACCACACTTCTGTTTTGGTTGCTCAGAGTTCAATTGCTCTAAACAAGTTTAAGTTTTTCAAGCCAATACCGCAACAGTGGAAGCTAGCAAACTTTCGACAAAAAGACGCAAAATGAAGTTTTAGAAACTATCACACAAAATTGTCACAGATTTCTACTTCTATTAGAAGTTACTCCGTCTCGAGCAGGGTTCTTCGTGGCACTCCTTGAGAATGGAAGCGCAGTTTTACCATTAATTTAAAGTAATTTTTTTTTTTTGTTGGAAGAATCTTAATGAAGAAATTAAATAATGGCAGTTTTCAAAAAAATATTTAAACGCCTAATTTTCCCCACCGGACGACGTGAAGAACGTCGCGTCTCTTCGGGCCCCTGACTTTTATCATGTTCCCCTTTTCTCATTTTCCTTAGACTCCATCAGAAGTCACTCAGTCCTACAGAACCTTTTGTCTTATTCCTATACTGAACTAATCATCGCCCACTTTAGCTCGTTCTTCAGGTAAGGCAATGGCATTTCAAAACTGCGCTTAAGCTTTACATTAGGATAATATGAAAATGAATAAATTAGAATAAATGTGGACTAATGTTTTTTATCATTATCTTTTAGAGATCTGAATATACCGACATAAATATATTGCTTACAAAAATTCTTACCTTATTGTCCTTGTGAAAAGTTGGAGGCTTTTTTCATCAGCACTTGAAACAAACATATATAGTTCAAGAGCAAGAAACTCGAGCTACGAAAAATAATATAAGTTTGATTTCTCACCTTGAAATAATGGAACTGTATAACCATGAAATCAAGCAACAAATTTTTTTTAACTGAATTTTTTACGAATTTTCCCACCACCTCAATCTTGAGTACTCAAAATGTGCTGCAAATTGCATGAGTATCACTAATTTTTAAAAGTTAAGAACAGAAGACAACGGGAAATTATCTCCACCGTAAAAAGCTAGCGGCCCTCAACTGTTGCAGTTTTCGCGTAAAAAATTTTTTAGCAGAAAAACTGGAATTCAAATATGATTCTTTTGTTCAAAGTTAAACTGAAATTTTTTTGCAGCATTTTGCGAAGTGCATCGTTAGACAGAAAAACAGAAATACGTTTAGTGCTTCTCCTTTACAGGCAAAAATTTGTTCTATATAACAAATGCGTTCCATCGGATGACAGTTCCACGTCATTTCACCGCAAAAACTTAGTTGTGGTCAATTTTCAATGGTGATGGCATAGAAAATACACGGAGCTTTCGTTTCAAACTCAACGAACAATTTCACGACGACTTTTGCACTCAGAAATTTTGAAGAAAGCTGGCAGATACTCATGGTACCTGCAGAAAAGTTAGTCTTACTGGCTTGGATGACATAGATCTGAAGAAGACTCCAAAATTCAGTCTTCAGAGCAGACAAGGATACTAGGAAAAGATAAAGAAAGATGTTTGCTGTGACTTTCTGTATAAGGTAATCGACAAAAAGTGATAACATATTAAAAAAATCATTACCATGTCTCTAGTAGTTGGTCATTTTCACTGTCTGTGACTCAGTCGTTCAGCAAGTCCAAAATTTTTGCTATCATTTGTAAATGTTTATTACTTGTCTATGAAATTGAAATCAAGTTGCGGCTTGGTGCTTTTGAAGAAATTTCTTGACAGTTTACTCTTAGTACTTGCCAAGCTTGTAGTACTAGTAAGCGTTAAAAAATTATCAAAATGAACATTTTCATCATTACTGGATGTTTAATATCTAACAGATTTTACTTTTTTACGAATTTCTGTTTCTGTTTCAGCTTACTAGTCCTACTATTTTAGTAGTTTAGTACTGCAAACTGGTAATGCCAAATGTTTGCTGTTGTAGTACCGGAATGATTCGTCGCGTTTAATTAGTACTTTGAGATTATTAGGTTATATACATCTTTTTAAGGATAAAATGTAGTTGAATTTTCGATGCAATTATATTCTATATAAAGCAGGATAAATTTCGCTTTTTGGTGTTATCTTACAGTTCAATTTTTATAAATACACTGGCATACGTAAAGATAATGATCAGCGCAATACTGCTAAATAGTACGTTTATTTATGGCTTTCTTTTTGCCGCTATCATGTTTCCAAATAAAAATAGAGTATTGATACTGGTGTGCCATTCAATAATGTTCGTTAAGATTGGCTCTGCTTGTAGGCATTAAGCTGAAAACATCAGACCAAAATTTCTGAGTATATTGAAAAATAACGAGGCTTTGCATTTAGCTACCAGTAATAAACATTTAAAGTTAAACACCTTTCCTGTTATTATAATTTCCTTGTAACATTTATTTCGCTGGATCGCACAAAGCAAACATATGCTCATTTTAAGCAGGAAAGCAGCATCTGTGCTAAAACTGTTTTCAATTTTTACTTAATCGATTTGTCTACGGAATGTAATTTGAAAAGACCAAATGAAAGAGCTAATTGTCCATTAGAGCAAAAAAAAAAA